AACCACTTTTTTTTTTTTAAAATTTTTTTTTTTTTTAAATTTTTGGGGGGGTTTTTGGTTTGCCGTTTTTTTATAAGGGGGGCCCCCCAAAACTTCAAATTTTGGGGGGTGGCCCCCCCCCCCCCCCCTTAACAGTAGAAAGTTCATTTGCCATACTCTGACGCCAGCAGAACTTCAACACTTGATTTTGTCATTATAGAAACTCGACATCGAAATAAAATAAACTGCTGCTGGGTAGTGAGAAGTCGTAGTCAGGAATCGTGGGAACTGACACGCTAAAACTCCCTTGGAATAATAGGATTCAATTATCAGTTGGGCTGACAGGCACGACATCATAACGACCACAGTCATCAGGGCTGTGAAGAATCTTTAGTAGATATTTCATCCGCTAGGTGAAGGATGGTACAACATGGGATCAGTGTGGGAGTGTAATCCCACCTCTCTGCTAAGCCGAACGAGTGAAGAGTGCGCCACGGCCGGTGGCTGGCCCTAAACAGTGCGCCCACTGCCAAACCGGCCCTACACTATCTAAGGGAGTTCCATTCTGATCGTCCTGCTCTGATCTCTCTACACGGACCAGCAGCATAGCTTATTCCGGTTAACAGCGATCCATTTGATAGACCTGTAAGTTTCAACCAAGATCACAGATAAAGGATGACTATGCCCGCTCAGACTGTCGAGGCATTTTCTCCCTCCTCTCAGAAGTTATTGGATTATCAAAGTGCTTGTTAAACGTCTCGTTGGGGAGGATTCGACCTCCTGCAGATAATTCAAAAAGAACTCCAAGCCAAAGTCATAGCATTATTAATAGTTTTTTTCTTTGCTAAGATAGATGATGAAATTCAATTATTTCTTTTTCTTTTCAGAATAAAGATATATTGGTAATGCTAAACACAAAGGAAGCAGTTTCTGTAAACGGAGCTGGCGAATTTAATAGAAAATGTCCATAAAGAAAAATATTCATCTTGAAGTATAGTTTTCTATACTTAGATCGGAAAACAGAGCGCATCGATTTTTTTTGCTAAATGTTCACCTGGATGCACACTGTGACCAACTCTGGATCATAATTGACGATTTTCGTCAAAAATCTCGGTTTGAAGAAACGTTCATGAATATATAGCCTCAGGCGTCCTCCTGCTAATGTTCGAATTTTCATTCGCTTAAAAATCTATTTTATTAGTTTTTCATGACATTTTTTGGCAGCCTTGAGAAAATGTAGATATCATATGCTCCACAGGTTGAGAAAATGTGTTGAGAAGAAAGGTTCACATACACATATACACGTGTGCATGTGTGCGAGCATATGTACATCACAATCTCCACGGTCGAAAATCTACAGAGAACTTCACTCAACTTTCAGGGACCGAAACAAATGAAACGAGAAGTGGGTTTCAGAAGAAACAAAATTAGTTTGGTTTTTCTCTAAACTGTTTTTTTGCTTAGTGAATGTCACCGTCCAGCAGATTTATCTGTAAGGAAAAGTTAGAATGGACTTCTTTATTTTTTTAAGTTGACGGTAAGACACATGGTAACGACATAAACGAGTCCGACTTCTGATTAGAGATAGTTTAAGAACCTAGATCCTTAAACACTTTGGTTTAAGAAAGATTTATTGAAGCACTGAAAGATTCAGACTAGAAAAAAACTGATTCAAAAATGAGTCAATGTAAACGTTATCTATTTGAATTTTTAAAACAGAGCATCGAATAAGTAAATTTAAATAGCAGAAACATCTTTCACTTGAGTGTCAAGTTAATGAGTATTCATCATTAGAACATCTTATTTTGGTTTATATCGACTATGATTTTGTTTTTTTCTTGCAATTACTTCCATTAATACAATTACCATAACGAGAATAGTGATAGCTAATAGTACAGCTACAATACGCACTATTTTTAAAATATTAACCATTCGGTGAATATGTTGAAGTTTTTGTAACACTTCTGTATACAATGTGACTTCTTGATCCATCCATAGTAGAGGAAGCATTCGTTTTACAGATTTGCCTTTCGTTTTTCGTTCCCATTCACCGTCTCTGTTTTGTTTGTAAGTATCGATATATGGATTGACATTCATCTGTATGCGATGATGAGCTTTCACTGGTGTACCAGTATATGGTTCAAAATAAAGCATTGAATCATGTTTTTCTTTTTCGGGTGCAAATCCATGAATATTAAATTTTGATGAATTATGTCCATAGAAATGTGGTTTTGACAAATAAATAGTGTCTTCTGGCATCGAACTTGATACACATTTTGAAATATCAATACTCTCCAATTCATCACATGATTCGCTATTATTATGACATTGTGTCAGATCAATAAAACGTATAACAAATTCGTGCAAATCCATATTATACATGTGTACAATTTTATTAAATTTAATTTGAATAGGACGACAAATATCTGGTTGAAACATATTAAGAGTCTTCTTTGTTTGAAGTAAAGGTAAAAATGTAAGACCATCGTAGACTGGAAAGTCGTAAGTTGTTGGATTTATTTTGAATGGCACATATTCTGATGCATATTTGAGTACACGTCCTTTATTTTCATTATCGACACGAATCGTGAAATTATATGCCCGACTACCATTATAACGGTAAACAAAACCGTATTTATCCGTATTTGGACCCATCATACTATCTTTCATTTTTTCAAATAATTCTGATGTAAATCCTTCGAGTTCTTCAATACCCAATTTTTTATAAAATACATCTCTACTTACATCTTTACCAACGAAGGTCTCAAAAGTTCCACTATCTTGTGAACGACCATATTGTGCACGAAATATTGCCCGAAGTATATTTACAAATGTTCCATCTTCTGTTAACAAAGTTTCATCAAAATTTTTATGACGTTGAAATAGACGTTGAACAGAATATTCTAAATTTTGATCATTATTAATCCATTTAATATTTTCTTTTTTCACTTTAATATCGTAGACATAAGGACGTGTTTCTTGAACATGTAACATAGCCCATGCATTTTGTTTTATTTCATCCACATCAGTAGTATAATTATATAGACGATAAGCTCGTGTTATAATTGTTGGTGGATTTTTCCAATTTTTCATAGCTTCAGATTCTGGTTCACGAATCAATTTTACAGCTTTTAATACTCTACTAATAATTAACTTTTCCCAATAAATATAAAATAAAATAGCCGGTATTAATAGAACTAATGCAACAATAATATAAACACTTAAACGACGAAGAAAACGTTTTTTTGAGCCGTTGGTACTGTGTGTCATGATCGTTCATATACGTATATCTTGTTTCTAAAAAAAAGAATATATTTTGATGGTTAATAATCATAAAAGTGAATAAATGTAAAAACAAATAAATTTATTTATTCTAGTAATACAAAGTAATCGTCTCAAAAGAAGAAGATCGATCTATTCTAATCCTACAATATAAAAACATTTTGTTCTCAATGTAATAATACTCTCACTTCATTTCATCTTAGAATAGTCGAAAAACAGAATGATAATGATCATATTCTGTACATATACACATATACAAAAAGAAGAAGAAGAAGAAAAAGTACAAAAATAAAACAAAATAAAAAAATAGTTTAAAATAAAGACGATAGATATATTGATCATAAACAGTATTTGACAACGTGAAGGTATGAAAAACAATGTACATACAATCAGATAGAGAGCATTCTTTAATTTATTTTCAATATTCAAAAGACTCGTATACAAGGATAATTTTTAGATAAGTATGTCGTAGTAAAAAAAATGTAGAAAATATTATTAACATCGAACTGATAACTTATATTATTTCGAAAAATATTTTAGAAAAATTTCTATATTACCCTGGTTTAATTTTTACTGGAACTGAATTTTTCAAATTCTAACGATTTGTATGCTCAAAATGTTGGAAAATGTTTGAGAGAAAAACCTAAAAAAATTCTCGGAAAAAATTTCTATACACACCCCATTTGACATACCTTTTATGATTTAGAACTAAAATTGAGAAAACAGTACATTTTTATTCATGAAATATTTTTAAAAATCACGTAAATCACCAGTTTACTTTCTGAAGGTTTTTCAACTGAATAGTTGTTTGATAATAATATTCACGTTAAATTAACTTTATCCTAAAATTTTCTAATCATTTAATTCTATTTTTAGTGAGATAAGAGATGCTTTTGATATTAAGTTAAATAAGGGTAACACACTTCCTCTTTTTTCTCTTCGTTGTCAGATGCGGAGCACACGTCCGATTGAACTCAAACATGTTCTTCTATGAGTTTTCTGGAAAACTCCAGTTTCCATCCAGTCATATTATGACTCCTCGAAAAAATGGTGAAATCGAGCTCAAATTTTTACCACAGAAATTTTAGACCTTATTTTAGGATGTAAATTTCTCTTTTCAAACAATATGCTTCTTGAGATATTCGAAAAATACTAAAAATCCTGTATAAAAAACCGGTTTTTTATTTAAGAACCTTCTGACGCTGAACGTTGAAATCGAAAACGCTTAAAAAAATAATGCTCATATCTTCACTAAAACCCATCGGAAAATTCTGGAAAACGTCTCATATTGAAGAGCACACTTTCTTCTATTAGCCTATGTATAAGAAAAATTTTTGAATATATAGGAAAGGAGAGGAAAATTTATGAAACTAAAAAATTGAGGTTTTCTAGACTTTGAAGGAAAAACTTCATCATTTTTTCAAAGAAGGTCATGGAGAGCTGGCCGTGGTCTCATTCTATAGCCAGATTTTCTTCTACATTAGACTACGTTGAGCTCAAAATAAAAGTTTTTTGCAATAAAAAGCGGGGGGTGGAAGGTCCGCTTGATAAAAATCGATTATTTTAGACAAAGTCTGACGCACTTCCTAACTATATCTTACTAGGATCCTTACATTTAGGACTTCCTATCACGTTCTTAGATGTTTTCCCGAGTATCTGAAAGTCGTAGGATTTGCTAAATTTTGTTAAGATTGTAGAAACCCGAAGCAAGATCCATTTGGAAAAACACGTCTCAGAGTTCAAAAGTTCAAATAGTATAATATGTTGATTTAAACACAAAGTGACTACACAGTTACGTAATTTAGACGTGACATCGGATTTTCTTTGAAGCCCAAGCGGTGACTTTTCCTAGCAGAAAAAATGGATGGAACAAAGGTACTCTAGTAAGAGACCTATAGATTTTCTGACAGGATCCTGGACATATCCCATTAGGATATGCCCAGGATCCTGTCCTGGTAAGACATAGCTAGGAAGTGTGTGGGACTTTGTCTAGGGTAATCAATTTTTATTAATTCTTCACTTAATATTAAAAACATTTTATCTCGCTAAAAACAGAACCAAAAATCCATGCACATAGTAAGAACTAAACAAGGCTAATATAGAAATTTTTCTAAAATATTTTTTGAAACAATGTAAGCTCTCTATCTGATTGTGTGTGTGTGTGCATTGTTTTTCATACCTTCACGTTGTCAATACTGTTTATGATCAATATCTCTATCGTCTCTTTGTTTTAAACTATTTTTTTATTTCATTCTCTTACACTTTTTTTTCTTCTTCTTTATGTATATGTCCGTATACAATCTAAGATTCTATTCCATATGTCATAATCGATTATTTGTTGAATACAATCAATGGACTATAACTATGACCGGTCATCTTCTAATTTGCTCCCAGCAGTCGTCGTCAATGAACTAACATCGATAACTTATTGATTTCCGATAGAAAAAATTGGTATTAGATAAAAAAAATGAAGAAGACTAAGAGTTGAAGTAAGGAGAAAACTGTGGTTTCCAGTAAGTTTACCCAACCGTCACCACATGCTGTACGATACATAGTTGATTTCAGAAGCCTAAATAATAGAATTTAGCTTCCAGTTCTGGAAGACCAGAGTTTCTGATAAGCTTTGTTTTAGCTTTCATTGAATGCACCACAAATAGCCACTTGAAAAGATAAAAATCGAATTCAAATAGTGTTTTTGCACTCTTTTTAGTAGATCGGTCACAATTTCTAAGAAAACAGCATGGAAATGATATATGTCTTATATTGTGGAAAAGAGTTTGAGTTATTTGGTGAATTAAACAAAATTTAGTTTATGAAATCTTTTGCTCGAACAGACGCTTTGGAGCAACTTGAACTTTGGGAAAATCTTTCCATTTTGCTCTTCATGGTTATACTAGTACTCGCTCTATCATTATCCACAATTTTAAGTCTCACGTTTTCACCTACATAGACACAAATTAAACAAAAAAAAATAATAACCAACAAATAAGAGAAAAGAAAAAAACAATATGTTTAGTGTAACGAAAGTATCCAACTATAAGAATTAATATAATTTTAATGTTTAAACTCGAGTTGTTTGTACATTACGTAAATTTTGTTTTACCACTGCTTTTTTCATTACAGAAAAGCTCAAGCCTTGGAAACTTAAACTGGCACTTACTACGCGCACAGTCCTTCAAATTGTCTTTCTGTAACTTTTCTCTCAACACAGTTGAGAATTTATACGTAGAACGCATAAATTGTTTCGATGATGTTCTACCTACATATTCTGTTGATACATCTACGTACACATACGTGTTGAGAGAAAAGTTACAGAAAAGCAGTCATGAGGACTGCGCGCATAGTAAGCACCAGTTTAAATTTCCAAGGCTTGAGCTTTTCTGTAATGAAAAAAAGCGGTTGTAAAACAAAATTTAAGAATTAATATAATTATTTCTGTACTATCTATTCAAAAGTTGATATTGAAAATGAGATTCGTATTGTTTTCGATAGTTTATTTCAATTTCGACTAACTTACCTAATAAACGTTTGTTTGGAACAACATCCACTTTGCGAAAAAACATCCTCACTTTACTTTCTATAAAAATCGTTTAATTTTTGTCAAAATATATTTGTCCAAATGAAGTTTAGATGTTCAATAAAACGATGAGATAAACTTTCGAAATCTATTCGGTAATGATATGTATATTTTTGATTAAATAAAGTTTTCTAGCAAAACTTATTGCTTATTCCAAAGTTAGACGACAAAATTGGATTGAACGATATTCAAGTGATTGTTTGGTATAGTCAAATTTTTTCTAATTAGCTTAATATATTTAGAAGACTACAAGTCCAACAGAATTTCACTACATTTAAAGGTTAAATAATACAGTATTGAATTACAGTTCACTTTATAGAGTTTTTAAAAGATTTTAAAATGAAGTATTTCGATTTTGCATCAGTGTTGAAATGGCAACTTGAAGAAAAGCATTTAAAAGAAGTTTGTTTATTTAGAAATTTAGCCGAATACAAAAGTCAAATTGTATAATTTGATAGAGTGATGTGGGGCGAATCAAGAATAATTTCGCGATCATGCCAGTATTTGTTGAATACCTTTTTTAATCTTAGAGATCTTTTTGCGTGCGTTG